GAAGACTGTTGATTTTTGTTAATTTTTCATAGAGGTCTAGTGATTTAAGTTTAAAATTACTTAAAATATAAAAAAATATAATATAAATGCATTTTATTTTTACAATAATGCCAAACCTTTAAAATGACTAGATTAACTTAAATAAATATCCATTGTTAGTATAAAATTGACGCCTTAGAAAAGCATGCGCCTCTGAAGCGTATGGTTATCTTTTACGTACGTTTTCATATGGTTATCTTTCTAGGGTTAAATTACCGATGCTTGTTTCGGCAAGATTCAGAAGCGAAATACGATGTTGGCTTCGGCTCGAATAAGGTCGACTGGAACGACTGTATCTCGATTTTCGGGGAGCGAGACGGTGACGTGGCGTTGTTTGTTTTTAATCGGCCGGTCTCGAGTCCCTCGTTTCGTGGAAATTCAGGTGTTGTGACTAATTGATTGGTGGGAATCGATCCTATACTTTTCTCAGTGGACTTCTTCTGAGCAACGAAGAGTAGTAAACGGAATGTTTCCATCATTGTCAGTGTTCGTTAATTGAATGAAAAATAGTAAAATATAACTAATGTTTGTTATTTAGTAGAAATGAAATATAAAATAGTTAAGTGTCATAAATAGCGCATTCTGCAAATTATTGGAGGAAGACGCCGCTTTTAGATCACAGTATTAAAATGATTCGAGAAATCCATAATTTTTATCACAAAGTCTGATGCATCTGAGTTTTTTGTTCTTTGTTTCAAGTACGTGTGAAGCAGTATAATTGTTGATTGAAGACATGTCGATAAATTTTCGATACTTTTTAAAAAGATGATTGAACTTACCGCTCGAAAAAATTGTTGCATGTGCGCTGGATCCGTATCGACGATCAATTTGTAAATCTCCTTGTGTCTTACTTCTCGAAGAACCTGCCTATAGGATCCAGGTCCTGCCTGGCGAATGTACATCTCAGTTCTTGTGGAGGGAGGTGATTTCACGAGATCCTGCAGCTTAAACAATCCTGGAAATAGAATATCAAGAGTTCATCAATAAATTCGTTACCATTGGAAATTAAATAAAGATTTAATCTTACCATACAAATTTCTAGTTCATATATGAACAGTGTAAGATATATAACAATTTAAGCTTAGATCAAATTCTTGAAACATTACTTATATAAGACTGCTAGACAATTTTTACATAACAGTTTAGACAATTGTTAAAATGGACGTATAAACTTCGTGCGCTACCACATCTAGTTTCAGTATTAATTTTTAAAAAGCTAGATTTGAATTTATTACTTTGTTCCAATTTATATTATTAAATATAAAAATTCCATTGTATAGTTATTTATTGAATAGAGTAAAGGGCAAAAGTGTCCACACACCTTTCGAAATTGTATAACGTAAAAAAATATTTTGGTCATTGTACAATGAACTAGTCCCTTTGACATTTAGAAAAATATTCAAGTCATTTGGACGAGTTTTAAAAATGTTATACCGTTTTAAAAGGTGTGGGGACACTTTTGATCCTTACTGTACATTATACAGTTTCTTATTCGATTACGCAGTTGCTAATATGTAGCAAATGTTCAATGAATCCGTCAGTTCTGTGTAAAATATGCCGAGCCCTAGACACCCCCTCCCCCTCCCCAGTACAATGTTCGAAAAGAATTTGAGTATTCAATGTCGACGAGACAGACATTGCACAAGCATGAAACGAATATGGCCCCCTTTTAGCAATGTAATACATCCGTGATGTCGGATTATTGCGTAAAAGCGTGAGCACAATGCGTTCTTTTCGAGTTTCCGGATGAAATTCGGGCACCCTGTCAACGCTACACCATTTACGAGCTTAGCGACGAATAAGTGTCGCAACCGTAATGAACATTAATTAAAAATCTATGTCAGCCTGTTTCAAATGTTAAGCCGATTTGACTATCAGGCTGCCTGGTATTACGAATTTTCGTCTAATTTTACGGAATTCTATATCGTAGCATTTCGTCGACAATGAAAAACCACAATTGCGACTGTTGCTTAAAAGAAGTCCTCTCAGAAAAGTGTAGAACCCATTCCCACTAATCCACTCATTCTAACACCCTCGTAGAAATAGGGTAAACGCATTTCCTTTATTGGGAGAAATGATCCCTTCCTATTAGCCCCAAGTTAGCTGCAACACTGAATTTCCACGAAACGATCAACTTCATCCATGCATTGTTTTCACTTATTTTATCATGGTACTGTTCGGGAAATCTTTTTATACTGCTGATAAAAACGTCAGCATCGACTGCGTCTATTTTCTACAATGATAAAGGAAAAACGATTGTACGTATTGAAAGTCGATACAAATGGTACTATAATGTCATATAGAGGCGGTACGTTTGCGGCGAAGCAGAATTCACTTCGTTCGAACGACGCAACATGCCGCTTTCTTGCCGCTACAATTTGCGTTACGTGTGAAGTATGCACAATTGCTGAAAACCGCTCGTCTGCGCCTTTGTTTTGATAAATGAATTTGTCGCCGAACTGCGCATAATTGTCGTCTCGTGTAAATTACTTCATATCAATCACCGTACAGCTAAAACGCAGCGACATCAAGCTGTAGTCGATTGGCAAATCGCCGCCTATCGCTCATCCGAAGCCAGCCTACGTATCACATGCGAAAAACATTTTCACACATGAATGTATTAAATTAATTTCAGATGTGGACGTATCAATACAAATATACATAAATAGTTAATATTTTATAAAATGTGAAACAATATGGAGGAATTATTTTCTCCCGAAATTTTTTGCATACGAAGTAAAAAGGCAAAAAATGTTGCCAGACCATTTTAAACTTTTAAATGAAATACCGTATCTCTATGTTATGTCAGAAGTAGATTATCTGGTGTGGAATACAAAGATAATATCAAAAAATGTTGTGGCGTATGTTGAACGTTAATAGTAATAGTCTTTGTTGTAACAAACCATAAACGTGCACGATTGTTTAAATAAGTTTCGCGTCGAAAAAACAAAGTGAAACACCAACAGTGAAACTGTTGCGTAATTTTTTCGAGGACAACGACTATGCGTCATACTGGCTCTGACGAATGTTTTAAAGTTTATTACACAAAGTCAGATTATTAGATAAGATACACTTTCGTGTATTGCTTGGTTTCAGAATTTAAAGGTGTCGAAGCGTGTAAATCATAGTTAGAGTATGTGTGATTAGTAACTTAAGATACTAAATCGTGATTCTAAACAGTAACATTTGTATTAATTGTAAACACAAAAATCAGTAGTCAGGCATCGTGTCAAATTATTATCAAACTGGTAGCATTCTCTGAAAACATTTCTAAAATCATCGACTTTTCCAGCATCTGAAAGCGAGTCTTATTAAAGGGCGAGAATACTCGAAGACGACAGTTCATCTGCTAAGGTGTAATTGACGGAAATCGTTGATGGAGGAGTGCACTTGAAACTACAACTTGCTCAATCTGCATACGTGCATGCTTGTATGCTTTGTAACGTCTCCCGTGATAAACGGCGAAATACTGTGACTCTCCCACGAACGTGTTAATGAGCGCCCTGCTATTCAGTTACGTGGGTTAGCATCTAGCGTGGAATTAGCGTCGCGCTTTGCAATTCTGTTTACCGACATTGCTTTCAGCGATAAGAAAAATGATGGAATTCTTGTTTTCCTTTGCGAACCATGCTTCAGTTTTCAAATGTATCAACATCTGATTTTTCAGAAGCGTTTGATCTTCGATGCTGTCATTTCCCTGAACATAGTGAATTTACGCACATGGTCTTGGAGATTGATACAGTAATCTACTAGGTAATCTATTATTAATACTACTAGGTTCAATTTCTTATCGGAGTAGATAGAATAATAGAGTAAACATTCTTCCCAATTGATATATTCAACTTGTAAACAAAAATAGATAATTTGGGAGAATTTATTGCAATCTCTATGAGATATTTATGAAACACGTTATACAGAGTCGTTCATCCAAATATTTCTTTAAGGTAAGATCATATGAAAAATGTATTAATTTAATTAGAAACGAACTTCATATTTCTTTTTAATTTCAAGAGTCTGATTTGGTAATTACTGATAAAAGGGTTCTCTCCATTAATTTTGACGAAATTTAAATACGTTTTACAACTTGATAGTTTGGAAATTGTTTTCTTTGTGAAAAATATCACTTTGCTTTAGTTTACAAAATATTCGAAAAACAGAGAGCGTACAATTGTAAATTTCATCAAAATCGGAGGGGAAAACCCTTTCGCAAATAATTACGCGAAATTACTAAATATAAAATTACAGTGAGTAATGAAATTATTGGAAATAGTGTACAAAAAATATATTTATTTTCCTATATGCAGGATAGTGTCACTGAACTGCGTTTCTGACTGTGAGTGTATAAAAATCAATACACGCTACATAAAAACATTATAAAAATCTTGCGTGACTTCTACTGATAATTTAATTATTTTAACGTGAACTCGTTAATTCATGCAAGTGACTAAAATATGAAGTCACTACACATCTATAGCAATGGCACACATGTTAAGTTAATAAGTAAGAAGGAGAGAGAATTTCAAAGATCCTTCAGTTTTTTATTCATAGAACCGTTACTTTGATTCCCCCTTTCCATTCAATTAGTTCCACAAACTTGGGCCTACCGTGTTTTCATGCTCGACGACACAATTTGGCAAGGAAGAATTTTGAAGAGTCCCTCATTTACGGTAGTAGCGAATTTATGTCTCTCATAAAGATCAAAGGGATGGAAAGAACATTCCTCGAGATCTTCATCCCTTCTTCCCTGCGGAAAACCTTTCTGTTTCCGCTCGTATATCCGGCATGATTATATCGTCTAATCAGGAAAAGTAATTTCGAAGAACAACGGTCTCTTTCTCTCTCTATCTCTGCCTAAATTATGAAGCAAGACAATATTCTTGGTTTCAGCGACTAATTAATTCTGCCGGGCTTCTATAGAAATCTTTGACTTTAATTTGAACTTTAGAAGCACTTATATGTATTTCTATACGTTCAGAAACTTTCTTCAATATTTTAATGAGCATTTCCAAATATCCTTTCAATATTTTTCATACTAAGTTCGTGGAGCACTAAATGCAGCTACTTTATGTTGCTGCATGAAAATAAAAAGCACACATTTCTTATGATGTTTAACGATTTTTATTTTAATATGTCTCCAATGATACAAAATTGAATAAATTCTCCACAAATATGTATCTATCGTCAAAATGACGCGATTCGTAAATATAGTGTTAAATTCGACAAAATGTACACTTGACCAGGTGCGATTTTGGAAATCAATGATCAAAATCGAATTCTTCGGGCACTTTCAAAACACAAGAGGATATACTTGAAGCACTAAAATGTTCGATCTACAGCGTGACTTTCTAAAACAAAGTATCTTTCAAAATTACCTCTAGAAATTTCTTAAGTAGTAAGATATTGAAACCAGGAAAGTAGATATTTTATCGGACAAAATAACAAGCCTTCTAATTAATTTCATTAGCCGACGTTCTACCGCATTTCCGAGATCGAAATTCCAAATGCTTCGTTGCAATACTTGGATAAGGATTCCCGACTTGAAGTTCGAGAGCTAAACTTCTCACTGTGCTTGCTCGAATTTCAATTAGGTATTTCTATTGTCGGGGCGGGTCGGGCACCACCGAATTCCCTGTTTGACAGCCGAGGTAAGGCCGAGTGGTACATGTGCTGAATTATTATGACACGGTCGCATATCCGCGAGTTTCTTTGCGCGAAAATCGGACCTGGTGTTGTCGTACGGCTTCAGCTAAGAATAGGAACCGTAATGGAATTGCTAGGGCACGGAGCACAAGAGATGCCACGGAATTTCGATGAGTGAAGTGCTGTTGCTGTCCGGAGAAGTCGCTCCGCGCCGCGGTTACCGATTCGATCCAGACATGGATATTTGATTACGTCTTATTGAAACATATTTCCGGAAGTCTGAGGAACGTTTCAGAAGGAAGTCAATTTCTGTCGGCAAGTTGTAGGCGACCTGTGCTACTCGACTTCTATAGAAGCTGTTTGGACTTGAATAAAGGTTGTGATATTGCGCTTAATGTTTGTTCAGACGCCTTTTGCAAAAACTATAATCATGCATTGTACATATTCTGTCGGTGAAATATAACATTGAAATAACTTTTTTATAATTGGGGCAAACGATTTGAATTTGATGCGATGAAAAAGTTAAAAAGTAATGTTTCTTCACGTTTTTATCTGAACAAATAACGAGAATTTAACAAATGCATTTTGCAGATCTGTTATAGAGTGGGGATGCCAGTTGCCGACACATTAAGCATAATTTTGTATTCATCTATACATTTTCAGCTGAAAGGGCCTAGCCGATTAAGATGGTCAAAATTGCCCTTAGAGGTTTCTTTAACGAGAATTATACCGTTCGATAGATGACCAATAAAAACTCATTTGTGTAAAATTTCAACCCTGTAACTTGTACGTGAGAGTAGTTATAGGGGAAATTAGATTTGGGCGGAAATCTTTATTCTTTCTTTATTATTTTGGGCGAAAATCTTTTTAATCATGTTATCATAATATTAATATTTTGTCGATTGACCCTTTTGCTTTATTACTTCATGTAATCGCTTGGACATGTTACTGATGATTTTATTTAAATACTCCGGCGAAATCCGTTTACATTCGTTTAACAAACATTGTTTTATCTCGGTTGTTGTCCTTGTAGGTGTTGTACGAATTTCGCGGTCCAATTGATCCCATAAATTTTCGACTGGATTTAAATCAGGCGATTGAGGAGGAGGATGCCGTACTTTTGGACAATTATATAATGAATATTCCTGTACAATTCTGGCCTTGTGTTTAGGATCATTGTCCTGATAAAACTTAAAACTGTACGTATACCCATATTTATAGCACTTGTAATTAAATTAAAAAAAAAAAGTCCAAATACTTCATTTTCTCCATAATACCATCGATAAAAACTAATTCACCTATACCTAGGGTTTTCATTCACTGTCCGAATATTTTTGTGACGTTAAATTTTGCTACAATCTTGTTTATCGCTTACTATACAAAAGAACATGTGCAATAAATAAACAAAATTTATGTTTCTACTTACTTTAAAAAGTGCTTTATTATATGAGAAAACAATTGATTTATGGCGGCTACCTCCAGACCCGTGCCAACAGATGGCTCCTCTTCCCGCAAGTAACCGATCCGCCTCAATTTGTATATATAGAGTGTTCCACAATTATTTTAACAGCCGAAAATGAGGGGTAGCTGAGGTCATTTGAAGTAACTGTTTCCTTTGCGAAAATGCGATCTGCGGCTTTGTTTACGAGTTATTAACGGAAAACACTGACCAATGAGAGGTGACGGCGCGAAGTTCGAGAGCCCGCAGCACGAGGCTTTGACAGATGGTCGGGACGGACTCGTGCCGCGTTCGAAGTATCGAACAAATCACGAAGCGAGAACTTTCCGGATTTTTTTTTACTACGTAACAGTGATATTTTTAAGAAAAACGCTGTTCCCCTTTACTTTAAAACGTCCGAAGAATATTTACAAATTTTTCGGATCCGAAATAGTAAGTAATTGGTCGATATTTCGACCTTAGGTTGTAGTTATTATTCGATGAATTAAGCCAATTGAAGGTAGCTGAAGGTGCTATATTGCTATTACTATTGCGAAAAAAGCAGATTTCTTAGAAGAACAGTACTAGTAAAAAGCCGATTTCTGACCTTAAAAACTAAAATTAAATAAAGGAAAGCAGCCTTACCATTTGCAAAGTAATGCATTAAAAAATCGAAGCGTCAGGGACTGCGTACTTCAAAGCGGCAAAGTAATTTCTGGTGCGATTGTGATAGGACGGTCTAAACTCGGGGAAGAGAGCGTCTCGACGCTGAGCTACGCGAGTCGAGGCGGGGCCAAAATCGGTGGTATCAGAAGTAAAAAGCGTGGAACTATGGCAGTATCGAGGCCTGCCGCGATTTTCAGCACTGGCAGCCCAGCATCGTCTGCGTGCATATGACAGGCCGACATTTTGCGTCGTGTCGGCATCCACTTCCACCGGCTGATTCCGACGTTCTATTTGCATAGGGACGCGTCACAGGGTGGCCCGGCGCGCGTGAAAAAAACGTAATCACTAGTCTGTGTGACAAGCTACACCATCCGAGTGCGGAGTTCCGTGATTCCTTGGAGAGTGCTACTCATATACTTGCAAATCCGTCGGGCGCCGCAAGTTTGCTTTATTGTTTCGACGGTGTCGTGTTTATCATTGTCGCATGGGTTTTGTCCCAGGAGACGCGCGGAATGCAATTTCGGCTGCTCCCACGGCACCCGCGCCACGCTTTTGATTATGCTTGATGTGAAACAGTAGAGCAGCTACATAAACCGTCACCCCTCTGCATCTGTCGTCCTTGCCTTTTTTTCTCGTTTACCCGTGAAATCTCAACGCGCGGGACGAAGGATGACTTCGAAATAGTAATTTTCCGTATTTATGTTCCGTTAATGAAGAGAAACAACGTCGTAATAATTCGCCGGAACGTGGCGACTGTTTTCGCCGTGCGAGAATGTTATTCATGGGAGTCGCGATTTCTCTCGGAACGTAAACACGATGAAAAATGTTATGTCACCAGGACGCAACAACTGAGTTGTCCGAATGAGGCTGAGTTCTTGTCCCGATAGAAGTCGTAAGACGGATTTAGGTTTCAGATCTCTTATTTTTAAATATTGTTGACGTGTCTGATGCGAGTATGGTAGTTTTTGGTGCTCTCGATAGTATGTTACGAATGTTTTTTCTAGGTTTGTGAGATAAAGGAAACTTGTGGAATCGGGAGTTCGATAGTTAGTTCGGGAAAACATTTAGACATTGGCGAGTCGTGTTAAGGGTTAAAGTGATAATGTGATAATGTAATGTGGTCGTGAACGCGTATAAGTAGTCCGGAGTTTATTGATGTACGTTCGAGTGAAAGACAAATCACGGTGTCGATCGATTTGGCGCAACGAGACATATTTTATAATTTATGAAAACATTAAATAATTTAATACCTATATAAGTGATCTGTACATTGGACTGTGTATTATTTTTAGGTTAAATTCTTATGATGTCTATACGTACATAGAGGGTGATGAATATATTTTCAGTTCAACTTAGACATTTGAGCGAATTCGTCATATTGCATTTTATTGTTTTAGGCTTCTCGCTGGAAGTATTGTTTCTACTAATGACTAGCTTCCAGTAATTACCATAAACGTGCTTTATTGCATTTACCACTGTAATTTCAGGTTTATATCCATAAAGAATGAAAGCAAGAATTTTTTGCTCTTCAATGACACCGTTTCATCCTTACAAGATAATTTCATGACAGACACGACTCCTTACGTAGCAATTTTCTTTACAGCTTACCATTAAGTCAACTATAAATTGTTAATAACCCGGGACTAACTGTGCTCAAACCCTGATGTATTCAATGTGATGCTAAATGAAAGATATTAAAATTATGTACCAGCTACATACACAATATTTAACTAATCACCCTTAAAGAGACATTTAAAATCTAAAAACACCTAGTAATTGAGTTCGGTTTAAACTCTGGCCCTCACAAAAAAATTTCCAAAATATTAACCCACAATTAAAACTAGTTGTTCCATTTGTACAGTGTGCTCCTCAATCCGCTAATTACAAAATCACGATGAAACATTAATATTTCAATGGAATTATATATAATGTATATTTTAATGGATTTATATATAACGGATACATGAGAAAATAAAAAAAAATTAAGTCTAAGGTATACTTGGCAGTCCTGCATTTTGACAGCTACGTGAAAATCCGTAATGGAAAGAAACAAAGTAGCTTCCTTCCAATTTCGTTAAACAACTTTTTGATATAGCATAAGATTATACAATACAGTTATCATAACGATGATAATTTATCAACTTGACAGAAAATGAACGTTGCTATTAAAATTCAATCGAACTTTCAAAATTTTCGAGAAAATAGTCCTAATGAAATCACCAAGGATGTTTAGTACCGATTCACACGGATAATTGTTTCACATCTACAACGAGAACAGTTTGTCAGAAAATATTTTGTTGATATTTACCGTAGTCTTCCTCGTAGATGATGGCGACTCTGGTCCAGTTTAGGAAGGACATGAGATCTTTGAATGCCTTGTTCAAGTGGTCCTGCGAGGGATAGAGGTTTATACTAAACTCCTTAAACGTCGGTTCGAAGTCGACCCTGGCTTCTAGATGTGGTACATCCAGTGCCTCGCATATACTCTGTATGTGGGCGCCCAGAAGAGGATCAGATGGTCCAAAAATCCCTTGGACCGACCTGGATAGTTGCTTGCAGGCTGCAACAAAGGAAACATAACCATTGATCAGTTCAAGCATCAGAGAACCTTCGTTTGCAGAAAAGTTCCAATATATTGGATGATACGGAAAATTCTGCGACGTTTCGCAGTTGTACCTATATCCCCACCATTTTTAGTTACTACTTCAATTGGCATTAATGATTTTTACTTTATGAAAAGGGTTGCTTTATTTTGTCTATTGAATTCGTCTATCTTGTCGGTGCTTTTGAGCAATACGTACGACTTTGTACAGTCACGAAAATAGAACATTGGTCAGCGTCCAACTGATAACTAATGGACCCAACTTTTGCCCCAATATTTTATAAAGTTTAATTTTACTCAGAGGTTGCAGTAACACGATTTTTATTATTACCTTTAACGCTCATATGATGCAAACCACACAAGTAAGTATAAATGAATTATGGAACTTGTATCAAACATATCAGTACCGGAATCTTGGGATCAAAATCTCTAAAAGATTACATGGTGATAATAAAATATCAATTATAACATGTTTGAAATAATATGTGCTGTTTTCAGTCAGAGAAATGAGAAGCATTCTCGATATCCTTCTTTCTCCTGAATAGTTTGGTATACTCAAACTATTTCCTTAAATGTAGTGCAATTATTATATTAAGTGTAATTTTCTTTCAAATATTCTATAACGAGAGGGAGTATTCCATCTAAATCAGAGATATCAAAATCGATCAAAACGGAGCATATATTGTTTGACAAAGTTTTCAGCTACCTAATATTTTCATGCTGGAGAAACCCGAGAACTTTTCTCGATCATTAAACGCGGCGCGGGTGTTAAGGGTCGCATTACTAGACGAGCTGCAGTTTTATATGGAGGCAGGAAGCGAAAGTAAAACGCTACATAAGAAGCTGGGAGACGGTATGGATGAAAAGATACGGAGATGACTGGCTCTGACACGCCGGTTTCATATTTTTAAACCAGATGCAGTTGACAAGCCTGCATCAGCGAAAGTCGCATCAGATATTTTCACAGTAGATTTCATCCTTCCACCCTGTTCGCATCCTGCGTACCGCTTTCTCGTAATCTGCTGGTAAAAGTTTATCAGACGCAGTAAATCCAAGAGAAAGAGAGAAAGAGAGAAGGAGGAAAAGAGAGAGACGCGAGGAGCAATTAACGTAAAACTTTCTGACACCTCTTTTTTTGCGCAAATAACACGTCATCTTACCAGATGTCCTGTCTATGTCTAGAGCCGGTTTTATGAAAAAATGCACATGCTGTGACGTTTACGACAAATATTTCTTGCTTAGTATGTTTACATCCATGTACAAGGTGATTCATGTGAAACATTTGAACACCTGAGACTAAATGATACATTCCCAAGTTGTGTCATTTGCTGTTTCTCTTATTTACGATTGGTGGAATTGCTTTATATTTGTATAGTACTTTCTCGACCACGAAGTGTTCGTTTTTACAATTACTAATATTTAAATGTAAACAATACAAGGTTTAACCAAAAGCAGTTCGCTTATGTCTTATCGAATTTTAACATGATAAGTGCCATGTCGGTCACACTAATTTTTTACTAATTTTCAACATGTTGGGATTCAATGGAATTAACATACCATCCTCGATGATCATTTTAACTTTCTAATGTCAGTTTCATTCATCAAATTACTTTGTTTTCGTGGGAACTTTTAGAATCGATTTTTGCCACTTAATATGCGAACGAAGCACAAGAAAATCAGAAAGGATCAATTTACGAGCTGTCCTCAGGTCTGCTGCGTATCAGGGAATGTGTGTGAACAATTGATACGTTATCACTGCATTGATCTACTTATCTACGACCTCTTCCGTGGTTGCAGATCGCTGCACGTCCGGTTCCGCTGTTTCCTTCTGAAAGTGATTCCTGACACGCGTGTAAAGGCCAGTAGGGGTGCGAGAATGGACGAGCTCGATTCCGAAGGTGGGATTTCAGGGTGTCTAAGCATTCTCTACTTTGTCCGCGCGCTATGAATTATTCACGAGACTTCCTTTACCTCCGGTTCTTCGGACCGAGAGATACGACGATCGCCCGACTCATCGGTTTCTCGTTTACGCCACCGGTTTCACTTTACGACACATCCAAGATTCGTTTAGATCGTTCGGAATGAATCGCGCGGTACCTTTCGATCCCTGTCAACTCCATTCTTCGGCAATTTAACCGGATTATATCACATCAATGCGTGAATAATGCTGGCTCTGAAACTGTATACAGACTATAGCTGCATGAGTTTTCATGATGAATGACTGCTTGGAAAGCGAATAAACTTCAGTATCTTAAGGCGTTCGATACTGGCGTTACATGTGTGTGACGGCAACGATTTTACATTTCAATTTTAGAATTCATATTATAACTAGGGTATTCAGATAATTTATAACGTGACAACTATGCTGATTATTAGACTGTGGATTTTAAGATTCTATGCTAAATGTGAGTAAAACAGTGAGCAGATTCGAAACAGTGATAGATTATTTTCAACCTACTAAAAAATATTAAATACAGAAATAAACTTCTGATTGGTTCTTGTTTGTTACAATTAATGCAATCTCTACTTTACATAAAGATCTGCAGTCTACTAATTATAAGTTTGTCGGCTGTTCCCCATTTTAGCTAATTCAGTATGGATTCTTTTTAAATGGCTCCTCATTTCATTACTGAAACGAGAAATGGTGCGAGGAGCTCGACAAAGTAATGTAACGTGTGCAATTGGGAAATGTGTGAGGAATTCCAAGGTAGGAAAAGTGTGAGTAGCTCTATATTACGTATCTTGAATTCAACAACGTTTTCAATTTGAGTGAACAGGGAAAAATTGACAAACTTATGTTTACCTTGCGGATTTTTATTTCTTATATCCGCGATCAAATTTAAGCAAATATACGAAAAGACGAAAGTGAAGGTGTCGATGCAAATTATATTCGTGATGCGAAGCACTGTATATCGCATCATGTATGCGCCGAACGTTTCGCGGGTTAATAATTTCGCGGGGAACGCAATGGGCGTTGTTTGTCCCCAGAGCATTGGATTAAGTGTACAATTTTTAATCAATCAACGGATGCGTCATTCTGCATTTCGCGCCGGCACGGATATTTAAATACGCGGGACATGGCCGTACGAGCGTTGACGGTACATCGATGTCCTTGTGAAATCAAGCACGCTGCGAAATTGTCGAAAATATAATTTCCATGGAATCACGGGTATTGATATTCCCACGGTGATCGACTGCGAAACAAATTTATGCCGCGTTTGTTCGGATTTATTCGGCGTTAAACGCCGACGCCTGATCGCCACGAGCATGCTGCGCGAAGTGACGGTGAAATGCCAGAAATGAATTTCGTCGGACCCTTTGGGGGATATCGTGAGTACTTCCGTGATCGATCAGCCCCGAAAATATCATTTATGCATGAGTCTCCTCTATTTTGGCGAGCACGGACGGTGGGAGCGTCAGCGGAAAATTGAGATTGCAGTCGAGAAATCGAAAGCGGAATGCCTGCTAGTTTTATAAAGAAAATGCAGGGTATACTGGGAGTCGCGGTATGAGCTAAGTTGGAATGAGTATTTCTGGTCCAAAAATAAGTTGAGAATGTAGAATAAAATTTTTCATATAAGGCTTTATTTATGAGAAAATGGATTCCACCAAGTACACATGATATTCTATGGACCATTTCATTGCGTAATGCTTTAATTTTACTAATTATAAGTTAGTCCCGTAAATTTCGGAATTCCTCGTCCATTAATTATATAATATGTTTATACCTAGTACATTTTCTAAATGAGAAAGGCATTCTGAAAACGACCTTTCATGAAATGCGTTCGCTCCTGGTGTTTTCACTCATGGCTCATCACTTCGTATAGAGTACAAGTATTCATTCAAGTGTGTAAGAAAAGTTTATTAACGTCCATCATTCTAAAGTAAAAAATAATCTAATTGTCTAAATGTTTCCTGTATGTACTTAACTTTACACACGGATTCTAAAATGTCTTATAAAATCCTTTTTTTTTGAAAGTTTTATTATGAACAGTCATTCACCTTTCGAATGTTATGATTATACTGCGGATTTTATGCATTTATGGCGAAAATTAACAGTTGGAATATAAAGCTGTAAATTAGCAGAATTTAAGGATATTGTCATGTTATTTTCAAATTACTGCAATTATTAAGAGAAAAAGACATTTTTATTTAACTTATGTGTTAACTTAACTTTATATGATTTAGACAATCTTTGTTATGCATATCCGAATGTACTCGTAGTAATACGAATAAAGAAGTGAATAAAATGACAATGGTAAATAATGTAAAATGTGTATAATAAATGTTATACATGGGACAGGTTAGATAATTAAATAAAATAAATTAAGTAAATAAGATAGGCAAAAGTAATTAGCATAAATGTGTAATGAAATCAATATGCCTGAAAAATATCTAATTTGAGCTCGATGAAACTTCTATAAAACGAATTCTTTTTATTCAGCATCTGATCGAGAGATATATTTGTTCTATTCATCAACTGTCAACAATTCACTGCACTGGACCTGGTTTTTTCAATAATAAGAAGCTCCTCGATACTTTCATTAATATTTACAGACTTTCATCAATAGCAATTTAAGAGGTTGGAAGTACGCTCGAGTCTTCGAAAGAAGAGGAGCTCGGGGGAAACAAATCGACGAAATTCATTGAGCAAGTTTGATAGGCCCTTTGATCCAACGACGAGAACATCGCAATGGAAAGTTTCGTTTATTACTCAAGAAGTTCTCCCGCATTTAGCAGTTCAAGCCCTCTTTTCATGCTTCCATAAATATTTCTCCTTTATCTTGTTGAGAAAATTTTCCTGCATGTTCTTTCCTTATTCCATATTTTCCACGATCCGCAAGAATTACGTTATTCTAGGTCAGCATTAAACCAGTCATTTATTAAAAGTGTTTAATCCCTGTTGCTTTATACCAATGGCAAGTCTGATTTTATTCAATCTTCTCGTCAATTTTGTT